GAGAGAGAGAAAAGGAAGGAAGGAAGGAAGGAAGGAAGGAAGGAAGGAAGGAAGGAAGGAAGGAAGGAAGGAAGGAAGGATAACGTTTAGCATCATTCTTAAGAAAGAGGGATTTTATTTCATTCTTTTTTGAAAGGGAAATGGCAGGACTATCCCAGGGTCCCCCCTCTCAGCCCTCGCACGCCAGGCTCACAAAGGACTGTTTTGAAGCTGGCCCCCCTCTCAGGATCCGAGCTCGGTGATGACGACGCCGAGTCTTTTTCGGGACCCAGAGCAGACAACAATAGGTTATAAAATCCCTTTGATCCTGGAGGGAGATTAGTTTTCCTCGCAGGAGTGACCTGGGCCGGGAAAGGGGAGTCTCGCGGCCGCTTCCCTTCTTCTTCAGGCTGGAAAGGGTGAACTCTGCCGGGGGGGGACAGAGCAACAGGGGAAATGTGCCCGTGTCTCTTGGGTCACGCACGGCCAGCCGCTCAGATCAAGCATCTGCCTCCGAGGCAGGGCCTCGAACAACAGCTTCCAGCGTTTCACAAGCAAAGCGAGGCCAGCTAAAACGGCAGAGCTAACCACGGGAGGTTGTCACCCGTCCCAAGGGGCTCAGCGCTCAGCTTTTCATCGCCCCTCGCCCTAAAACCATCCCTGCTATTCGGACAACAGTCGCTGCAAAACGGGGCCGTCAGCAGGGCGGTGTTTGCAGGCTGCCCAGGTCCTAAATTCCAGTTTTGTGGCCCCCAGACCCTGGACCTCCCCCTGTTTCTTTTTAAAAGAAGATAGGTTATTATTTCAGATGTTTGGGGATAATAATGACCACGCAGGAATAATCAAAACCCATCTGGGGTTTCTCCCTTCATTTTGTGTTGTTTTGTTCCTCGTTTCTAAATGTTGTCAACAATTTGTAAACCGCCCGGAGTTGCTGGGAGTCAGGCACTGTATAAATTATTATTATTATTATTATTATTATTGGGGTGGGTTGTACAGTCAGCCAGATGTTTAGACTGGATTTGGCATTTTTATCCACCTATCGAGGGATAGGCAGATGTTCTCGTCTGATGGTGTTAAAATGATATAAGCTGTTCCAAGTAAAGCTGCCGTCCGCAACGGACTGATGGTGATTTTGTCAATGCCGATGGTCTTCCAGCGGTGCTCCAGATGTTTTGGGGTTGCACCCAAGGCGCCTATTACTATTGGTACTATCTTTGCTTACTTTTGCCCCATCATCATCATCATCATCATCATCATCATTATTATTTCTGTAGGCTCTTAATACCTACCTCTCGATTCCATTAAGCGAAGACTCCAACAAAACCAGCCTGCCTGTCTCCAACGATCAGCTCTTGACGTGGGCCAAGGAAACCTACGGTGGTGTCTCCTCCTTTGCAGAGTTGGAAGATCCCCAACAGATTCACTTCCAAGTGGCGAGAGGTTGGTGTGGAGATTTTGCCCCCTCCCCATCTCAGTTTTCTCCGTGAGGCTCCAAATCCTCATGAACAAGTCAACATTTATTAGATGACGGTTCTTCAAACTGTTCTCCGCAGAATCCTGGGATCCTGTGAGAACCTGAAGGGGTTTCATGAGAGACTAGGGGGGGAAATTAATTCCAATGCAGCCAATTTTCCATCACAAAAGCTTCACCTCTTGATCTGAGGTTCTGGGAGGTTTTTTTTTTTTTAATTAATAGACTCCTGCTCTGAAAAAGTTTGAAAACCTCTGGGCTAGCCCTTTAGAGACGGATCAAATTCAGAGAGATGCTTTAAACGAAAGGCAGGGCCAGAATATTCTACTGCCACAAAGTGCTCCCCACCCAAATCCAGAGTTAAACTACTTTTAATCTGCTTCTAAAAAGCTCTCTCTAGAACTATTGATTTGACGTCTTCTCAGGCAATGGAGAATCCGAGATTTTCTTTTCCTTCCCCTTTTGAGTTTCTCACCTCCTGGATCTTTGAGATGGGGAGCAGAAGATCATGAGATGACGGGGTGACCTTCCTGAGAACCAAGGATTTTTTAAAAAAAACCTAAATCTGCTTCAGCTACTTTGCCTTTTCTTTGCAACTTAGTGGATCGTTTTGAGGGAAAGGAAAAAAAGGCAGAATAGATGGTCAGAGACATAGTGGTCAGTTAGAAGAAGAGGTTGTCTGGACCACCACCACCACTCCATCAAATCCAGGTTGGAGGTCAGGCAAATCTTCTTTCCAGTGAGGGTGGAGAAGACATCACAGATGTTCAGGAAGACTCATGATTTCTCTGTTTACGCCAGAGCCCAGCACAAATGAAGATTGCATCCTGGCGCAGGATTTCAACACCGAGTCGTATCTAGAGGTAGAAGTCGAATCCCACAAAGTGGAGACTTGCTTGGATGCCAGAAAAACATCTGAAAAGGTGGCTCACATCCTGTGGCTGCAACAGAGTTCACCGGACGAGGGGTATGATTTGTCGGGGGGCGGGTTGGAAGGCCACAAAAATAGTCCTTTTTCCTAGGGATGGGGAGGAAATCCACTTTGCGTCCATTGAAAGCTTGAGTTTTGGAACCAGTACACACACTCAGCTTGGTTCTCGTTCAAAGGTTGCGCTTCTCCAAATTTCGTCATGGAGGCCACCAGTAAGAAATGAAATGGGTGTGCGCTGTGTGTATTTTTATGCAAACTTTGTGCAGCTATCACAATAAACAAAAGAGAAACATGGTGAAAACCAGCACTTTGCAAAGGACCAAATAAAGGTTTGGTCGTTAGTGTTGCATAACGGTGTTCTTCGTGGCACCCTCTCCAGGCGAAGCCGGGTCCCCAAAGAGGGATGTGTTTGAAATGTAACTAAGATTCAGAAGAAAAGCTGTTCTTTCTCCTCAGTTTTGTGTTCTTTGGTTTGCAGGATGCAGACGGTGGAACTGAATGTAAAAATGGTTTGCAAGGACGGACGTTCAGAGGACGAAGCAGAGATACCTCTGACCTTGTGGCTCAAGAGCCACCAAAATATGGTGTGGAAAATGGGCCAACGGCTTTCATTTCTGCAGTTGTGGGTAAGGATGGATGAAGTTGGGGGGGAGAATCTCTTTTCTGATGCGCTCATTACCTCTTACGTTTGGGAATTTGTGGGTGAAAGAAAGCAGATGGTGCTAGAGAAGAGGAGGAATTCCACTACAAATTTCTGGGGGGGCAGATTTTCAAAAGTGCCAAAATGAACTCTGCTGTGGTGCTGAGTGGAGCACCAAACTTTTCCTCGAGGATCACAGATCTAAAGACACGCACAAGCCTTATTTGTTGGGGAGAGACAACGTTTAGAAAAGAACATGCCTTTCTGAAAGTCAAAGAGGAGTCATTACGTTTTAAAGGAAGAGCTTACACTGGCAAATGTTACGTTCGTCAAAGCTGGATCCGGGAAATGAGTATCGCAAGACTGTTATGGAATTCTCCTCCTGCTTTTCTTCTTCTTTTCTGTAGAAGGAAAAGTTTCTTGGGGAATTTATGTCAGCAGCAACACATGGGAGGGAAAATGGTTAAGGAAAATGGATGCAGACTGTTCACATTTTTTTTTCTAAAACCGCAGTAAAATTGTTGCAAAAAGCTGTTTTAAACATGAGTATATTTCTTCTCCTTCTCCTTCTCCTTCTCCTTCTCCTTCTCCTTCTCCTTCTCCTTCTCCTTCTCCTT